CTATTGAAATATAAATGTCTCACATTTTGTAGAAAAATAAAACTTACCTCGTTGAATTATTTTTTCACAGCATCAACTATACGTAGATATCATCAGGCCAGTGTCAAATACCAATGCTCAGCTTTAACGGGCCAATAGACTTGGATAAGTTTCCATGTAACAAGCTAACTTCATATTGATACTCGTCTGTGATCTACGCAAAACTGAAATAAAGTGCGTGCTATCCTGTCTTCAAACTCTTGATTTTCCTATCTGTGCAGATTAAGCCGAGACATCCAATCGATGATTTTTAATGAACGTTCTGTCCTTTTCTTATCTAGCGTAGCCGCATTGTATTAACGGCCAACCCCTAATTACAAAAACATATATCAGGTCAACTATATTGAACAGTTCAATATTAGGTGTGGGATACAGGAGCGGATCTAGGGGGTTTCGGCGGTTTAACCCCCCCCCCCCCCCTGGGTGACCAAGTGAAAACAAAAAGGAAAAAATATATAACATTTTTTTTAATTGAAATATCGGGGGCTAATTTTTTTTTAACGCTCACTACACCCCCCCCCCCCTCTCCACCTCCTCACTGAGCGAAATATTTGTCGGCGCGATTTTAAAATTTCGGGGGGCAAAATGATTTTTTTAAATTTAAAAAAAAAAAATATATATATATATATTTTTTTTATTGCTCACTACCCCCTCCCCCCCCCCCCAACTGAGCGAAATATCGGGATTTTTGAAAAATCCTGGATCCGCCACTGGATCAACCCCCTCCCCCCCCCCCCCCCCCCCTTGGCAAAAAGCTAGATCCGCCCCTGGGTTATCATTATGCAATCACCGCCTTCACTTCCATGTTTGATACACATGATACAATGAGTGTCACTGTATTCTGCGTGGAACCAAAGCGCCCCTACTATTAAAAAATAGGCTATCCGTGGAAAATAGGATTCGTGAGAGGTAGAAAAGGCTAATACAATACAATACAAAACTTTAATAAATAATCCATAGATTCTTGGATTTTTTAAAGTTTTATTTCTTTCTAATACCATCTGACAATTAATTGATTAAATTATATTTGGGTCATAGATTGGGTGTTTTATTTGGCACATTTCTTTGATATATGACGAATTCGATAATAAAGTATCTTTCATTAAGAAAGGCGTTATATATCCTTAAAGAACAGAATATGATGGTTTAATACTTTTTGTATAAAGGGCGGGGCACAATGCTGAAAATGTCTTATATACAACATAATGGAGTCATATTTCTCATGTGCCTTTTGAGTGCATAATTTCAATAGGTTTTTTTTTCTTCAGCTTACTTAAAGTATGTCGATAGCTTTAAAATGAGGGCCAAAGTCCGTTTGTGCGCCCCTTCTCCACTATTTATCTCCATGTGTTGTTAAAAAGCTTACCCCGTATAACAAATCAAGATTGTCTATTCTACTAATTAAGATAAAAGACCGAACCTGTGTCAAATATCAAGAGTTTAACCTAGCTAGCCTGCCTACTGGTTTCGGGATTGAATTCGAATAGAATACGGGACAAAAACTTTTTATTGTATACTGGATAAAACAAGATGCATGTAGAGCGTTATTTTTTTTTTCATTAAAAAGGAATTAATGGACCAACGTGAATCCCGTGATGATCGATTGACAAGGTGAAATGAATAATTAATGATTTGTACTCAGAATGAATGTAGACAGCTTTCGATTATTTTGCCTAAAATCAACAGCATGACGCGGTCAAATATTTATTGGTTATCGTTCGTCATAAAATATATTGACACTACTCATTAGCGTCATTAATTAGTTTTACCCTCACAGTGTATAATGTGTATGGCGGTGTATGGTATAGAGAGAAATTTTAATCGAGTTATTTCAGCACATTCTTAACAAAAAAAAGAGGAAGAATAAAATAGATATCGAGCAAGATTTACAATGTGATAAAGGCAGCAAAGTGGGGAAGAGGAAGAGAGAAGAGAAGAAAAGAAGACGAGAAGAGAGAGAAATAGAGCCCGTCTTCTTACTCGCCCACTGTGCACTCGCACTCACTCTCTCTCTCTCTCTCTCTCTCTCTCTCTCTCTCTCTCTCGCTCCCCCCCCCCCCCCTCTCTCTCTCTCTCTCTCTCTCTCTCTCTTTGTGGACGGGTTACTAAAGTAACTAATTAAATCAGATCACTGGAGTTGATCGTTTGAATGCCACAATGTCCAAACGAATGTGTACTTTAGTTACATATTGGAAGTGCACTGTACAATAATGCCATTTCAATATATACAAAGAATAAGTGATATCGAAAAAAACTTTACTTTTAATTTTTTGTTTCACTTTAAAGTTATTGTCCTGTATCAAATCTATTTCATTACTGTCAATTTCATACAAAAAAATCTCTCTAACACTCTCTCTCCATTTCCACATATCCCTTTTTTCTCCCCCTGTGTGTATCGGATATGTGTGCGTGTCATGCGTTTGTAAATGGCCGCGAACGTGGACCTTTGTAGGAATACACACCTTCTAACCATGGACGCCCGGCGAAGGTGGACGTCCACGGTTCTCTTTTATCTTTAATATGACTTTTTACGGCTAAACAAGTACCATATCAAATAGGAGACTCGATTGGAGCTAGGTCCACGATAACCGTTAACAAATCTGATACACCGGTGTGCATATCATTACGACCGACTAGGATTAATGATCGGTGGGACAAAATTACTCGATCGGCGGATTTCATTTCCGTCTGCTGCCAGCTTTGGATCAGTTTAGGGGAGTCCCTGTTTTACCTTGTGATTTCAGATAACGCGCGTTAGCGAGGTCTTGACGGGGACGTCGGACTTCCGGGTACTCTGGCCTGAGCTGCACGGGACGCGCCCCGCGGCTTAACGGCGCGGTGCCCGTCTTCTACAAGTAACATTTCGAGTCGCTAGCTGCATGCTGATTGATGGCGATGCCGAAACGGATGGTCAACAAATATCTTTAATTAAAGTAAGTAAAATTATATATTTGATGGAAGAAAAGTATAGAGCTAGGTCTTAATCTGGGACAATACAGTACGTATTTTAAAAAACGTAACACTTTTGACAAATCTGTCAAAATTACTTTTCAAAATAGTCTAGGAAGGGCATTTTTAAACGTGCTCGAGACCTAGCCATAGAGTAAAGCCTAGTTTTTTTTCTATAAAATGCCACTAAAATAACAAATATTTCTTCTCGCTTGAGTTAACATTGACCTTTTTTGTCCATAGTGCCAAAAATGGCTTGCGCCAAATTAAAAGAAGAGGGGAAATAAAATCAGCAATATGATTTTAAGTAGGCCTCTTTGCGAACGTGGACATTTGCAGGAATACATACCTTCTAACCATGGACGCCCGGGAAAGGTGGACGTCCACGGTTTTCTTCTATCTTTTGTATGCATGCAAAAGAGCAATTGATTTGATTGGGAGTATAATCAGCCTTTTTTTTTTAAATGCACTGTTACTGTATTAGAGAAACTGACTGAAAAATGAGTAAAAAAGGGTGTTCATATCTAAAGTAGATTGAGTCGAGATCTAGATCTAGATCTATTTAGTCAGGAATTGATTTGAATGGGAGTATAATCGGCTTATGTTTATATGCACTGTAACTGTATAAATTGGAGAAACTGACTGAAAAATGAGTAAAAAAGGGTGTTCATATCTAAAGTAGATTGAGTCGAGATCTACTTAGTCTGGAATTGATTTGAATGGGAGTATAATCGGCTTTTTTTTATATGCACTGTAAATGTATAAATTGGAGAAACTGACTGAAAAATAAGTAAAAAAGGTGTTCATAATCATATCTAAATTGGATTGAATCTAACTTTTCTTAGGCAATAATGTCATCGCACGTACCAGTACGTTAGTTAAAGTTAGACTAGACACATTTCTATCCGACTATGAATTGAACTGATAATGATCCAGTGAGATAAAAAAATAAACATGATCTAGATCGATCTAAACCTGTAATAATAAATCTCCCTCACCTCAGATATAGGCTCTTTATTTTTCATCTTTACCAGCTAGACCTCTACCTTAATTTGAGGTGTCTTGGTCGAGTGAATATGTCACCGGGCTGTGGAACACAAGGTCCGCGGTTCAAGTCCTGCCGCGGCACTAATGTCCTTTGGCAAGACATTGATCTACATTTGCCACTCTCCACCCAGGTGTTAAATGAGTACCCAGTAGGATGCAAAAGTTAATGTGGTTTGATTAGCAAGTGGCGCTTGTAAAATGGCGACTCGCTGGAATGCTCCCCAGGGAGCGGAGAATATGCATACAAAGTGTGACCCGGGTATTAATATATATCTGTAAAGCACATTGAGAGAGCCTGTGGTCCTGAAATGCGCTATATAAGGACAAACTATTATTATTATTATTAATTTCTGCATTTGAATTGAAGTCTGTTTTCGCCATTAGCATTATTGACTACGTTGCACACCACTCTGATATCTGCAGTGTGTTTATCTTCAATCTGACAATGATGAAAAATGAACTTTTACAGATGTAAGAGCTTAGAAGGAACATTACTTATAGACCAGTAGAATCTAGATCCTTATTGAAGCGAAAGACTGCACGATATTTGATGCCCACCTAACAATCACTAGAAAAGGTTGAGATAGATCTATAAACCTAGTCTAGTTTCTGTTGTTTAGAGTTTGTTTGGCTTAACTTAATACTAGTCTTAAGCATTTATTTAACTTTAGAATCAACCCTAAATCATAACGGTCAAATTTAGGTTTTTATTGTTTTTTTTTCTTCAAATTTTCACCCTCTTTATTTTCCACAGCTAAAACAATGACTATGGATGATCTTCCTCCCCCTCCTCCTCCTCCTTCTCGTTCTTCTTCGTTGTCTTCTATTCCGTCAGTTACATCAAGCAGTTCAAAACCTTCCGATCCATCTCTTCATCAGTCTACTCAGTCACTGCCCTCACTTCTTGAACTTTCTATCTCTGATCTGCCTTCTTCTACTCTCCCCAGCATTGGTCTTTGCCCTACTCCATCTTTTCATCCCTGTCACCCTCCATCTTTTCATCCCTGTCATCCTCCATCTTTTCATCCCTGTCATCCTCCATCTTCTCTGCCCCTGCATGCTTCTTCTTCTGCAAATGATGATCCACTACATGGATTGTCTTGTCAGTGCTTTGTCTTCTTTTTTCTCCATCTCTTGATCATTCTTTGTTTTCTTTACATTATCATGGTCGTATCGTATCTTTTTCTTTAAATGTTTGTCTTCATCTTCTTTGTCTGTGTATGCATGTTCTGAACGTAATGTTTCTATCCCTGCTATACTAGCTATCCATTTTCTTCTCTCCAAAAGAAAATATGTTGAGGTGAGCTATTAAGTTAATGAAGTTATCCTCATTTGGACAGTAATTGCAATATTACATACCTCATTAAGTTTCTGCATTCACATCATGTACACATTTTTATTGACTGGTTTGTGAAGAAGAATAGAGGACACTACAATGTGATTTAAGAACATTTCCTAGATTTATATGTACAAAATCATTACAAAATATTAATTTACAAATTAAAGCTTGTAAAATGCTTCTTGTACATGTATTTTATGTTCCTTTTGTTGACAGTAACAAACTAAATTAAAGGTAATCCCAGTTAGGATTTGGATCTCATTCTGGTCATCAAAAGAGCATCTGAACTCTTTGCAAGGTCTGTCATAAGTCCATGCATGCAAGCTGGCTGGTAAGAATTAGCAGAGCAATCCTGCTTCCACAGTATAACTGTCTCGGGCTAGATATATAGACTTGACTTAGGCCTACATGCAAGAAAGAATATCAAGGAAAGATAGTCTTGAAAATTGCGAATGGTCCTTAGACCAGACCCAACTTATGATTTACATGCATCACCTTCTCTTGTCTTCTTTTTATCATTAGATGACAACCAGACGCCGCCGTGTTGCACCGCATCAACAGGTAGAGAAATGGTGCAGGGCTGAAAAAGACCCAGATGGCTTTGAAATAAAGTTTGTGAATGAGACAATAGGTGGGTGAAATCAAAATATTTTATTGCATTAACTCCCAGAGACGATTTTATTTTTATTAGACATGCATATACATGTTTTTTACAAGTGATCAACGAATTAACTGTAATTTGGAGCTGGGATAAAGTAGATTGGAACGATTTCTATAACAGTTTTAACTATTTGTGATACATGTACATGTACCTTAATTGCAATTAATTATAAGCCAGTACAATTATTAAATGCAAAGCTTTGATTTCACAAAATTATGGTTCATAAGTTAGTAGATTTAAACTTCAGAGCAGCAGAGTGAAGACAAATGTAGTGGATATTAGAGGGCATAGATGGCTTTATGTGGAATGCTTATGCCACCCAAATTACGCATTTAATTCATAAAACTTTGTTGAACCATTTTAACAGCTAATGCCTTACGAAGCCGAACTTTCCAGACTATTGTAAGGAATATTTTTGTAAGCTTTAGAATGTAAAATATCATGTGTACTCCACTTCAGGTCATGGACTTTTCACATGCAAACACTTCCAGAAAGGTGATTTTCTTCTAGAATACAGAGGGATTTTCAGTGAGACATTAGATGCAGATGAAGACAATGACTACACATTTCATTTTCTTCATACAGGTGTGAACTACAGGTTAGTAAAGTTTCTTTAATTTCTGTTTCAAGAAAAATGAAAATAAAGAAAACTACAACTATGTTATTTCATCAATTTGTTACCATACTGTATGCTGCTATTTATATTTCAGATCAATTATAGTGACTTGAATTATTTGTGTTCATGATTTCTGCAATGATACCATAAACATTTGTAGAGTTTTTTTTAAGAAGATATGATGGAATAGGTGTGGCCTGTGTGCCTTATCAAAGTATTTAAAACCTTTTCTGCAATGATGAAAATGAGCTAGACCATGCATGTGATCACGAAGGGTAATATGTAGCTATAATTTGGTGGAATAATGATTTACTTGCATTTTGTATGTTATTCTCAAGTATTTTCAGAAGAGGGTTCAAATTTGGGCAAAAAAATCACCCTGGTACTGAAAATAGTGGGGGTCATAGTTTTGTATCGATCAACCAAAAATCTTTTCATTTCCCCCTCTCATCATTAAATTCCGACGTTCTATTGATAAAATAGGTCACTTATAAATTTCATGCCATTCTTCATTAATTGTACTTGCCAATTAGGGCTGGAAATGCCAGGGCTTGCAAATATTTACAACAACAAAAATACTGGTATGTATTAGTTATAACTTTTATTTTGAAATATGAGCCTTAACTCTAACATTTGTACACAGGTCTATTTGAGCTGTATTTTGTTCAGTATAGTTTCATGCTACCTCTAAGCATGCAATCTTTTTTCATTTATCTTGCGACTGCAGCATTGATGCATCTGATCCAGAGGCGGGGTTAGGCCGTTGGATTAATGATGATCATAAGGCACCAAATTCTGTAATGAAGAAAATCATCCTGCATGACTCAAGTCCACATCTGTGTCTGTTTGCATGTGACGATATTCAGGTGGGGGAGGAAATACGATACGATTACGGCACTAAGGATTTGCCATGGCGGCAGGTACGATATTACACTTTGTTTTATTTTGTATTTACTGGTGAAATATGAACATTATCCAGTTTTTGCAAAAGCTAATTTACCACCTCCATCATTATTGTTCTTTTCATTTACTATCGCACAATGTTGGACATTAGTTTTCCTTGATGCCCTTATTCCACGCTGCCCTATACTCTATCAATCCTTGGGCCTTTTAAGGAGAGCACTTCAAAAACTTTCAAAAAAAGATGATGAAAAAGAATATTATATAATTACTTTGTACAAGTGGTATTCAAATATTTATGTCAATAATATCATACAACTCTAGAGTCGATAATTTAAATGTACGCTTTAGGTGACTGTAGATTCTCCAGCACTATAATTTTTCTTATACGATATTGAGATTTTGCAAATAATGATATAATGGAATATACAAACAACTATACAGAAAACGTCACATCGCTCTCATGATAAACATTTGCTTCATAGTGTATCCAAAATCAGACTCATGTATTGATTTAAATTGCAGCCTCCCACACCAAACGTCATGCCACACACTAACATCAACGTGCAGGACACGCCTAGCAAGAAGTTGCCGACACCCCACAGCATGGACATTGTCACCTCTACTACCACCAATAAGCTGCCCTATATGCCAGATGCAACATCCAAGCCAGCATCACAGCCAATCATGAACAACATCAGCAACCAAAGCTCTCACCAGTGTCCTATCCAAGGAACACCATCCACCAGTCAACTACTACCCCACTCTCAAGAGGGTGGCACACCAACATCCGATGATAATGGGACAGCTAGGCAAGAGGTACACTCCCTGAGTAACAGCATGTCTTGCAGCCAGGTTGATGCCTGCTATAACCCGGACTCAGATTCCCCAGGTGTCATAGATGGAAGTGAAGAGGGACCAGAAGGCCTAGATGTATGTATTTCTAAAATGTTTTGTTAATTAAGAAGAATGTTTTTAATAAATTTCCTTGCATGTGGGCAATGATGTAAACATACTTAGGGCAAATATTTACTTGCCTATACACTACAAATACATTCTTTACCATAATGAGCAATATTGATACAGTAATAAATATCCAGGAATGTGAAAGTCCATGTTTGTTTACTTAAATTAGCAAGTCCACATTTGAAGATTTTAAATCGCACTAATTGAAATTTAACAGTTTAGAATACATGTAAATGAGTCCATGTTTGTCGTATTAATTTAGCAAGTCCATACTTGAAGGTTTTTTTTCACCAGTACACAAACAAATGTGTTGTTTGAAATAAAATTAGGTGGACCATTGGAAATTTGTTAACTTTTCTGGGGCTATAAGGAAATAAAAAACTATTGTGCCAATTATTCTTGATGATTTTAGGCTTTCACCATACATGTACAAAATCTGGAGTACTGCAGGTATGCTGATGATATTGCAATATAGCCATTAATGCTTTTCATATGTTTCATATAGGTTTTCGGCATGCAGCAGCCTTAAGACAAAATTTTATGTAGTTGTCACAATAAATGTTTTACTTCAGAGTGTATCAGAAACTCAACTCAAATATTAATTTAAATTTCAGACCCAATTGCACACACCAATTGTGGAGCACACCTCCAGTAACATGCAGGAAACGGCTATAAACAAGCTGCCGACACCCAACAGCATGGACATTGTCACCTCCACTACCACCAATAAGCTGCCCCATATGCCAGATGCAACATTCAAGCCAGCATCACAACCAATCATGAACAACATCAGCAACCAAAGCTCTCACCAGTGTCCTATCCAAGGAACACCATCCACCAGTCAACTACTACCCCACTCTCAAGAGGGTGGCACACCAACATCCGATGATAATGGGACAGCTAGGCAAGAGGTACACTCCCTGAGTAACAGCATGTCTTGCAGCCAGGTTGATGCCTGCTATAACCCGGACTCAGATTCCCCAGGTGTCATAGATGGAAGTGAAGAGGGACCAGAAGGCCTAGATGTATGTATTTCTAAAATGTTTTGTTAATTAAGAAGAATGTTTTTAATAAATTTCCTTGCATGTGGGCAATGATGTAAACATACTTAGGGCAAATATTTACTTGCCTATACACTACAAATACATTCTCTACCATAATTAGCAATTGTATACAGTAATAAATATCCAGGAATGTGAAAGTCCATGTTTGTTTGCTTAAATTAGCAAGTCCACATTTGAAGGTTTTAAATCACACCAATTGAAATTTAACAGTTTTAAATAGCTAGGTCCATGTTTGTCGTATTAATTCAGCAAGTCCATACTTGAAGGGTTTTTTTCACCAGTACACCAACACATGTGTTGTTTGAGGAAAATCAATCCCCTTTATTTTGGGTGTGGTGATTAATAGGTTTATAGATCAATGCATTAATAACTGTTTTCGGAGGCGTTATGTTTTTGGGTTGTCCGTCTGTCCGCCCGTCTGTACGTCCGTTCTCATGATCGCGTTATCTCAAGAACCGATTGATGGATTTTCTCCAAACTTGGGTCATGTATGTAT